ATGGGGTGGGGAAGGCGCATTGGGTGGGGGGTGTCACCTGCTGCAATACTTTCTGGCACCTGCCACCCTGTGCTCGAGCCTCGCTGTGAGGAACCGGTGGGTGCAGGGTCGATTGAGTACGGCGGGGTGAGGGGTGGCACAGGCCGAGGCACCTAGGTCTGAGCTGCGGTTGGGCGGCGTTCGACCTCCTCCTGGCTGCAAGATTTTTCAGGAGCGTGGCCCTTCCCCCACCAGCCCCGAAACTGGCATCGTCTCTGAGCCCCGGGTTCCCAGGGCGGCGGAAGGGAATGGCATGTCTTGATGTGTTTGCTATGAGAGAGCAGCCCACGTCCGTTTTGATAAGCCTAATGTATTCACTTAATAACCGGTTTAGGGGAGCCTCGTGGAGATGCTGAGATGGAAGGAGGGGGCGGGACTTCGGCCCCTGCCTGTCTTCTAGGGAAAATGGGGTGGGGCTCCTATTTAGGAATACCTTTACCAAATTTCTCCCCACAGGGGTTTCAGGTAGGCGGGTGGGGGGTGGGGGGCTCAGAACTGCACAGCCCATCTGTCTGGGTATCCACCCTAAGGTGTCCTCGCTGTGAGCCCCTCCCTCGCCCCTGAGCAGCTCTTGACTCCCTCCCAGGCCCCAGGTAAAGACGAGAAGACTCTGGACAGGGCTCCCACCACGCCCGTGTGGTCCAGCCCAGGCAGACCTGTCCGACAGGTGCTTGGGGCCTGGGTGCTGGTGAAGGGCATATGGGCACTCCGTTCCCTTGAGTTCCAGCCCTTTCAAAAATTCCACTGCCGGGTGACCCCCTGCCCCCACCTCTCCTTTGGGCTGTTTCAAGCTCAGAGGCATTTCTGCCCCTTCCCTCAGGGGCTATCCACGCCCCTCCCCAGCCTCCCTGGTCTTTCACAATCCCAGAGATGGGGCAGGGCCCTGCACACTGTTCCTCTATGGCTGGGTCCAGCTGGCTCTCAAACCCAGCTGCTGGGGTCTCGTCCAGTCCCTGAGCTGTTCTCTCTGGGGCATTGCACAATTGCATGCTCTATGCCAATCACAGAGGACTGTACTGTTCTCCCCCCACCAAGACTTGGGCCCCTTAGTCCTTTACACAGGCACACACCCACACACCCACACACCCGGAGATGGGCCAGGCCTCGCCCTGCATCCAGTCCCCCAAGGCCTGGGCTTGGACCTAACAAAAGGTTATAATGAACCCAGACAAGCTGAGAGGGACTCAGCTTTCCTGGCAGAGGACAGAAAGAAAGGAAGGGTTCCCATCCTTTATAGCTGCAGGGACTCCAAGGGCTTCGGGTTACAAGGGAATAGTGTCCTGCCCCTCTCCATACTCTTGGTCCAAGGCAGCCACCCTCTGCCCTTGGCTGACTGACTGATCTGATTGATCCCAGATCTCAGCTTAGAGGTGACTTCCTCCAGGAAGCCTTCCTGGTTTTTCTCTCCAGGATGGCATGAGAGACCCTTCCTTTGACCTCCCATAGCCTCACATAGTCACAGCCCTGAGTAGGTGCCAGGCGCTTCCCTTTGTGGCCTCATCTGCCCCTTCCCCTTTGTAGGGCCAAGTTCATGGACCAGACTGTGGGGTGAGGGACAGGTTGGGGACAGGGTCTTTCTCTATTATCTCAAGAATCTTTTGAGTGTTACCCAGTACCTAGCCTTGAACTTGTAGCTCTAAGATGTCACAGGTCGTGGGGCAATGATCCCCAAGTTATTTTTCACCCTAAGTTTCTAAGGGTCTTCTCCATTGTCTGGGGGAAGGTGGGTTTGCCAGAGAGATTCAGCATGGCGTGCTGGGTAGGAGCTCAGGCCCTGGGGCAGAATGCCTTGTTTCTGATCCTGGCTCTCTCACATCTGCCGTGGGTAAGTCAGGGAATCTCAGCCTCAGTTTCCTCATCTGCAAAGCAGGGGTGGTTGTAATATCCCCTCCATAGGGTTGCTGAGAGGAGCAAATATGACAACAGAGAGACTGCCCCTAGCACATAGGAGGTACCCAGACAGAGGGTCAGCATCACTGCCCCAGTTGAGGGGACCTAGGAGTTGTGACCTTCACACCCAGGCAGTCACAGCTTTGGGCTGCACAAATGTGAATTAGTGAACAGAGCACTCCACAGAGAAAATCACCCCTCCCTGTTTGTCAGCTTTTAGCAGCTGAAACTGGGGAGGGCCTGGACAGGGTGTGAACCTCGCTGCTCCCGTCGCCCTGGTTCCTAATGACAGGTGTTGGAGCTGATGTTCACACCTGAGCTAATGACAGGGTCAGGCCTGATAGTGCAGGTCACTGAAGACAGCGTCCGGCCAAGTGGGGAGGGTCAGGAGGAGACTGACTTCCACCCTCCTGCTCTGTGACTAAAAGCACAGCCCCAGCCAGCCTTTACTTCTTGGCTGTGCTTCCTGGGGTGAGCTGGTTGGCCTCTCTGTGCCTCTGTTTTCTCACCTGTAGAATGGGCACAAGCATAGTACCTGCCTGGTGATATGGTTGGTATGAGGATTAAATGAAATAAAGCAGGAAAGGGTTAAGAATTATAGGAAGCCTCAATCCATGGCAGTTATAACGAATATAACTATCGAGCAAATGCAGATAAGGCACCTACTATGTGCCTGACCTGGATGCCAATGGACAGGTTATGCACCGCACAACTCCAGGGGTGCCATTCGGGGGGGATGGGGTAGATGTGGAGGACAATCTCCCTGCACTTGATGGAGTTATGCTTAATCACGTCTCGCGGGCAGAAGGAACCAGGCAGAGGCAGCTGTCCCCAGCAGGACATAGAACTGGATGGATGTCTCCAGCCCAGTGGCTCTGGTGCTTCCTATCTGGTCTGAAGTGAGAGCTGTCAGGGCGGAGACCTGAGAAATCAGGGAGGACTTTCCTGGGAAAATATCCAACCTGTCTTAAGGAAGAGGTGGGTGTTTAAGATCTAGCTTTGGAGTTAGACTAAATTCTGCCTGTTTGATTTTGGCAGGGAAATTTGGCCTCACTGAGGCTAATCTTTGCTATCTGTAAAATAGGACTAATCTTTCTCTTCCACCCAGACCTGGGTCCCAGTGAGCACCCAGCAGCCTGGTCTGGCCTCCCAACCTCACCTGGGTAGAGCACTATAAGAATAGCCTAGTCATAATGCGGGGAGCTGGCATAGGAGGCAAGCCCAAGGCTTTGGAGGTGGTGAAAGGGCCACGTGCCCTCCTGGAAGCCGGCTAGGGTACCCTGAGCCTTTTGGTAGTTATGAGCACAGAGTTTGATGTAGCCAGGTGTGAGTTTAAGCCCCATCTCTGCCTCTCCTGAGCTGTGTGGGCAGGTCATTTAACATCTCAGTCTTAGTTTCCTCATCTGTGAAATGGGAGCGATGATAGCAACCCCCCAACTGGCGAGGTCGCTGGTTGGATCAAGAGAGAAAATGTACATGATGATCCCAGCCCCAGACCTGGCTCACAGTGAATGCCCAGTGAACCATAGCAGCCAATGTCTGTAATCACACACTGCTAAGCCCAGGCAGCTGGTCTCCTTCCAGCTGTGGAGGCTGCAGCCTGGGTAGGGCATGGAGTCAGCTGACTCTCACCCATCCATCCCAACATTCACGTGGATCCCCTTAGGCAGATAGGTGGAGAGACAGACACACGTGCACACATTTATCAGTGACAGCTGGAAAGCCTGAAAGATTTGACAGCGAGGCTTTCCCTGTCAGCAAAGCCCACCTCCAGCCACATGGGTGATTGGACTTCAGTGATCTGCATAGCCATTTCTCAAGCACCTACTGTGTGCCTGGCACAGCCATGGATGTTACAGCATCTCATTCGGGCACCGTGGTGGTGTCACTTATTTCACAGAGAGTAACACTGAGGCCAAGAGTAAAGACACTCGCCTTGGGCTCACAGCTCACAAATGGCTGATTCTGGGGGCCCAGGGGCTCCTGAGGAGGGAAAGTAGGTCTCCGTACCAGGACCTGCGGCTAGTGGCAGCTGTCTAGGGACTGCCTTGGGCCAGATAGTGGAGTCACTGGCTTTTGCATTCTCTGATTCTGCCCCAGAAACCCTTCCCAGCCTCTTTTCTCTCTGGCTTTGCCCTCACTTGCCTGTTCTTTCTCTTGGCAGAGGGAACGAAACCTGATGAATTAGATTCAGAACAGAACCAGCCGAACCTATAAGGATGACTGCTAAAGGTGGCATTTCAGGCACCGTCAGGGGCAGTCATCTGGGGACAGGGAGTTTGAGGAGAGAGGCTAAACTCAATGCACACCTAAGAAGGGGGAGGGACATCAGGAGGGTCCTGGGGGCTGGGGAATAAACTGCCTTTGAGAGCATTTCCAAGGTTCCTTGTCAAGGGAGGAGGACCCAGGATTCCCACGTGTCACCACAGCCTGCCACCATCCCAGGCGGCCT